TTCCTGCAGTCCTCAGGCACTTGTGTTCTCCAGGACCTTTAAAAGGTGATGGAGGGTGGCTCAGCAATGACATCTGCCAGCTCCCTCAGCACTCATGGGTGCATCCTGTTGATGCCCATGGTTCTGTGGGTTTCCAGTTTGTTTAAATCATCTCTAACCTGATCCTCCTTGACCAAGGGAAGGTCTTCCTTCCTTCAGGCTTTCTCTCTTCTCCCCAGGAGCCTTAGCAGTAAAGACTGAAGCAAAGAAGGCATTCAGTATCTCCACCTTCTGTATATCCTCCATCACCAGGACACCCACCTCATTCAGCAGCGGCCCTGCTGATCACCCTAGTCTTCCATTTGTTGCTGATGTACTTGAAGAAGCCCATCTTGTTGTCTTTGACATCCCTTGCCAGATTTAATTCCAGGCGCACCTTAGTGTTCCTCATTGCTTCCCTCCATGCTCTGACACAGCATTTCTGTATTCCTCCCAAGTGGCCTGTCCCTCTTTCCACATTTCATAGACCTTTCTCTTCCATTTGAGTTTCAGTAGAAGCTCCTTGCTCATCCATGCTGATCTCCTGCCTCCTTTGCTTGATTTCTTAGTCATGGGGATGCACAGATCCTGAGCATGAAGGAAGTGATGCTTAAATAGCCATCAGCTCTCTTGGACCCCCCTACCTTCTAGAGCCCTGACCCATGGGATTTCTCCAAGTAGGTCTTTGAAGAGGCCAAAGCTAGCTCTCCTGCACTACCTGCTATTACAGTCTACCTCTGTACTTAGTCCTGCCAGGAGAATCACTCAGGCTGGACCTGAACTCTTGCAAAACCCACATGACTGCTGTAGTTTCACAGTGGCATCTTGTTTAGAAAAAGTCTTGAAAGCAGTGTATACCCCTGGCTTCAGAAAATCCCAGGAAGTGGTAAGTTATTTGCGTGTTGTAGTATCAAGCATCTGTGTCTCCACCAAAGACATGTGAAGCAGAAATTTGATGACTATCTGGATTTTATAGAGTCAGTTCAGGCCTGGATTTCACTGCTAAAGTGCTTCACTATCACTTTGAGAATTCTCTGAATTTCTTGTGTGCTGTTGCTGTAATAAGCCTGGGTGTTTCAAAATGCATTTGTATTTCTGAGGAGGAGGCAGGAGCTACATGGCTGCCGTGGGAGGAAAGGAAGGGGATTTTTTCTGGTAACTTCAGTTTGTGTTTCCCCATGGAAAGAGTAATTTATGCAATTTGAGAAGCTTGTTTTGAATCTTATTTGTTTAGAACCAGAATTTCTCCAGATGCTAGATGTGGCTGTTGCTTCTAAACCGCATCTGATGGCATAGCTTTTATAGGAATTACAAGTAGGGATAATATTTATACCTAACACTGTGGTCAAAGACTTTATAATTTTTTAATACTTACTTATATAAGTTTACAAAATGTGAAAGCCAAAAGCATCACCCTTCATAAGTGAAATATTCTTACAGCAATTTTTCTCTTGCAGCTCTGTTTAGACCTGGCGTGAGATACAACTTTTCACTATATGGCTGCAAATCCAATGGATATCAGTTATTGAAAAACATAACTGGATATATGAAAGAGCTGCGTAAGTGCACTTTGTCATTCAGGAACTTTACAAAGTGAATTTAGACTGTGCCTGTTTTTAGCTCAGTGTAGGTAGAAGAAGTTTGAGACCAGAATCCCCATACAGTTCTACTGACTTCTGCTTGTTCTCTGTATATAATTTTAATACATTTCTCCAGCGACTCCCAGTTCCAGCATGCAATAACCCTATGTTCTCCAGCTTCTGTGGTGGCGCAGGGTGTTGCAGAAGTTTGCTCTGAAGACAGTGGTCGTCAGTGTTGAAGGCACAGGCATAATCTGAACCACAAGGCTGCATTCGCTTCTGCAGGAGACAAGGCGACTTCTTTTGATTTGTCAAGTCAAAGTGAACTTCTAAGCGTGTTTTGTATAGCTCAGCAAATACAAAGTGTCCATAACATTTCTGATTAAAAGCATTTCTTAGACCAAAACTAGATCCTAGCTTACAAGGCACTTTGATTGCACATGTATTCCCTTGTGTACCAAACCCACTGGGTTAACTACGGTTTGATCTAGGGCTGAGCTTTGCTTGTCTGGAGATGCATTAGTGTCTGAATGCTTTCTGTTCCCAGGTGTCTGAATATGGCTTTACCCTTTAACATCACAACTGTATTGTATTATAACTACAACACCCATTTCACTTTGAAGTTTAATGTTTTCTGCTAAAATATTTTGCTCATAAAACTAAACTGCTGACATAATCTGAGCCCTTGGAAATGCTGTTGTTTGTTTCATTGCTAAGGTTGAAGGTGAGGTTAGGGCAGTTTTACCAGGAACTGAACTTTCAGCCGTTTGTATCTCTGTAAAAATCCTGAACGGTTTCCCAGAAGATTCTTCCATATGTGTTCTCATCAGGCTGGAAGCTTTCAGTGTAAAAGGATAAAGACTTTGAGGACTAAAAGTGCATTGAACATGCAGAAGAAACTTATTAGGAACTGAGAAATGTATTCACTTTGCACAAGAGCAGAGATTCATTCTAAAACTTCAGATTTGCCTTTGGACAAATAACCCATCAAGACAAAAATACATGCGTTCTTAACATGAGTTTAGCACTGGCAGATCAATGCCAAATGTTAGACTAAGTCCTGATGCTCATGACCTTACACAGTATCTGCTGTAACACTTTCAGTGGGGTACAGGTATTGGAATAAGGACTTCTGATGCCTGCTAAGAGTAGTTCTTTTAAGCTGAGATAGATTTTCATGACAGTAATGTGGAGTTTGTTTAATTTGAAGACAACCTATGAAGTTACAGAGTTCAAGCCTTTAAAAGCTAAGGAATTTGTATGCTCTGATTGTTTATGCAGTCTTTTGGGGCTTGTTGCAGGAAGTAAGCTGCCCAAGGAGAGATTTTTCTTTCCATTTCTGTTAGTAGATGATACTGTAGTAATTAATAACAAGGAGACTGACATAGTTGTATTTTTGTAGTGTCATCTGCTAAGTCTTTTCACTTGTTCTTCACAGTGAGGGAAAAATGTTCAGGAAAAATAGCAGGAAAATGCTAACCCTGAAATAAAACTGATTAAAAACTTTAATGGATGCAGCATTTAATTATAAGGTGATTTCTTACTAACTTTTTCCTTCACAATTCTCCCTACAGCTCCAAAACGTGCACCAAATTTTACTGTAGAAGAGACTTCTTCAGATTCTATATTGGTAAAATGGGAAGACATTCCTATTGAAGATTGTCAGGGCTTTTTAGAGGGATATCGACTTTCCTTTGCAAAAGGTGAAAAAGATGCTTTGAAGCCTAGGCTTTCGGAATCAGGTAAATGAAATCTATAGATCGCAGGCTTTTTTTAAATAATTTGATTTCACTTTAAAAAAAGATGCTTTAATCATAATTCAGTTGCATTACTCACTGGCATAATTGGCCCCTGCTATGTGACAAAGGCATCTGAAATAATCAGCTCCTTGTATGGTTAGCACAGTTGTTTTTTAATTTAAGGCAAAAGTCAGAGAAAACCCTGTCTCACTGAGACTGTAAAGCTATGCAGTGACTAAGTGGCAATGTGACACGCTGCCCTGTATACAGATACCCTGGGTAGATGAGACATGGGGGAGGTTACATGGCTGTATTTAATTGGGTACCTTCTTCCAGTACCCATCCTGTAGGACATTTCTATACAGAACTGAAGCCTGAACCACATTAACATAAGAGCAAAAGTGGCAGTGTAAGAAACTGAAGCCACTCTGCAGCAGCAACACACTCCTGGGCTGTTTGGTGCTGTGTAAGCAAGCAGCATTTCTAGGATTCTTTATTTCAGTTTTCCTTTACACAGGCTGTTCTTCAGGTTTCATATGCTGAATTCAAGAAAGTCTTGCTAAAGCTGAGGCTATCTTTGTGAATCCTTGTTTTTTTCAAAGTTATGCTTTTCTTACTGCTCCCAAACAAACAGGCAATCCAGAACTTAAAGTTAAGAATATCACTGACTTAACAAAGAAGTCTTTGAAAATACTTGATCTTCAAGGCAAAACAAGTTACCAGCTGGACCTACAAGCCTACACTGCTGGTGGGTTGAGCCCACCAAACAGCCTCTATGTGGTGACAAAGGAGGACTGTAAGTTGAATATCCCTGTTCCTTAATAGTTTTCAGCACAGGGCCTGTACAATGTATATAAAGCTGAGCTTTTTTTTTTCCTGGTCCCCTCAGGTAGTTTGGGCCTACGGTCTTATTTTTAATTTATTTAGTTGGTTATTTTTAAATACAAAAATTGATACAGTTCAGACTGAGGAAAAGATCCTTTCCTACCCTGTAATGTGTGCAAGAAAAATAACTTCTAAACTACTACTACAGATCGTGGAGTCTGACCTTAGTCTACTCAAGCAGCTAGTTGTTTTTGTCTGCTGATACATGGTGGGAAGAAAGACATTGTGGAAATATTTAGCAGTTTCAGAATTATAAACAGATGCCTCTCTGCTTTGAATTCAGTTTTATCGATCCCCTGACAGAAACAAACTCAGAAGGACAGAAAGAAAGGGATTGGCTTTGGTGAATGAGAAGAAAAAGAAAAAGCAAGTATTTAGTATGAAAGACTAAACACTGGCATACAACAAGAATACGTGAAAAACGAAACTTGAGGCACTTTACATCAATGGGGGAAGGCAGTGGGAACGTATCAGAGCTAAACCCTAGAGATTAGAAGCATTGTAAACAATATAAAAGGCAGTGCAGTTTGTGGAATCAGTTGCTGGCCTATAAGAGCCGTTACCAGAGATTTGGCCAGCTCAAGTAACCTGAAAATGCAATTCCAGTGCTTACTGAGAACAGAGTTACAGTGTCAATCAGTCTTGTGTTGCACATGAAGCCTTTTGCAATTAAGCAGTCAGAGAGAAGGATCTGCTGATTCCTGCAGTTGTCATTGAATCAGCTCTGTTTATGGATGGACTTTTGCCCTTCCAGCAGAGCGGAAGGGTATGGTATTGGTCACTGTTTGCAGACCACTGTTAGATGGGTTTAATGAATCTCTCTAATCTGAGAATGTCTCTAATCTGTGGGAATGTTAGAAAAGGCATAAAACTTGCTGTTAACTTTGTGTATATATATATTCACTGTCTTTTCTTTTTTTCATCCCTCAGCTGTAGGATTAATCATTGCAATTCTCATCCCTGTGGCAGTGGTTGTGCTGCTTGGAGTAGTGGCCAGCATCTTCTGCTACCGAAAGAGGGAATGGTAAATGCCTGCGTTCAGTTCTGATCTTTTCCAGGTTGTGTTTGCCTCAGTGCTAGAGTTTTCCATGATTTTAGTTACTCTTTGTTTTCTCCCAGTACTGAAAGATGTCAGTGGGCTTTGTTTGAAGGTGGGTGGCAAAAACACATTATAGAAGGTGAGGGAGAAATTAAGTTGGAGAAAGGTCAGAGTGAGAAATGCAAAAAGATTTTGCAGGAGCCTGTCTCCCAGTGAGCACCATTTATAAATAGTTCCCAAATGGAAATAAGCTGGCAACATACTATAATTTCTGAGCCATCCACAGACACTCAGGTAGACATACCATCTTCAACTTTTCGTAAACGTGGCGTATCAGGTTCACTGGTTTAAAAAAAAAAAAATTTAAAATTGCTGTTTTCTCCATTAAATACTCAGTGAAAGTGTAACACGCTAAATCTTTGCGCCAGATGTCTTCAGCGTTGTGAATTAAAGGGAAATGTCCTGACTCATTTTGTCTATTTGCAATCTGTTTCAGGGCTTGGTAACTTTTAAAAGTTTGTTCTTTCTTCTTTAAAGGATTAAAGAAACATTTTATCCAGAGATCCCAAATCCTGAGAACAGTAAGGCACTGCAGTTTCAGAAGAACATATGTGAGGTAACCCTCATTTTAAATCTAGTATTTTAAACTTCTGAAAGGTATTGTGACCAAATAATTCTTTTGCAAACTTGAAGTCTTCTGCTCCTGTTGTAGAAAAAACTCTTGTCGCAGTGGGGAACAGGACAAGTTACTGAGTAACTTTTGTCAGGTGCTATCTAGAGCTTTCTTGTTGTTAATGTAGTTACTTGCAATGTTTGAACTAGGAAAGGATTGCCGCATTTCTTTCCTTCTGCACTAATGAGAAGCATCCGTACATGGTGAGAATGTGGGAGTAACGTACCCATCTTTGTCATTGTGTTAGGAGAAGTAGAAAGTGTGGAGAAGTGTACATGCCATATCCCCAACCTCCTGGCAGACAAGAGTAGCTGGAACTGGGCTTAACATTTAAGCAACCTTCTGAAATGAGTTGTACAAAGCCGAGATTTGGGGAAAGAGTTTTTTTTTTTTTTTTTTTTTTTTTATATTGTACTAATGGCAATGGGATGAGTGAAAGCCACAAGCCAACACACTGGTTTAATTTGGGCAAGTTGTTGCTTTCAGGATTTCCAGGTCTTTTGGCTCAGTCTCTCCCCCTTCTCCTTTTTCTTTCTACAGGGGAATAAGACACTTAAAACACTGGAAATGAACCCATGCACCCCTAATAGTGTTGAAGTGGTGGAAACACAGTCTGCACTTCCCAAGATTGAAGACACAGAGATGATGTCCCCAGCAGCAGACACCACTGTGCATGAAGATGGCTCTGACTCAGAAACGGAGAACCATGTGGTTGTGTCCTACTGCCCCCCTATCATTGAAGAAGAGATCTCAAATACCCCTATGGATGAACCTGTGGGGTCATCTCAGGTGGTTTACATTGACATCCAGTCAATGTATCAGCCTCAGATTAAACCGGAGGAGGAGCCAGAAATAGACTTAGTGACTACAGCAGGCTATAAGCCACAAATGCAGCTGCCTATCAGTGCTCTGAAAATAGAGAGTCGCTTACCTGCACAGGAAGAATTGGATAAAACTGCCGGTTACAGACCTCAAGCAAATACAAATGCCTGGAACGTGGACACTCCAGACTCTCCTGGATCAGTTGAAAGCAACAATGAAAATGCATCTTTTGGGAGCCCATGCTCCATTAGCTCCCGACAGTTTCTGCTTCCCCCAAAAGATGATGAAGACTCTCCCAAACCCAGTAACATAGGATGGTCCTTTACACACTTTTTCCAGAACAAACCAAATGACTAACAGTAAGTCCTTGTTGCACCTGAACCTGCCTTCTAAATAAGCTTTTATGCCTGGTGTTGTGAAGAAAGGAAGAAGAAAAGTGCAAAAGGCATGAATTATTCTTGGAGACAGTCAGCAGAGGTTCTAGTGAGCTGAGTGTTACCATGTTTAAGTTAGTGAAAGTGCTAATGTTCCATTTTCGTAGAGGCTGAGAGGCCAAAGTTATAGCAATTTAGTTATTACTCTAGTAAAATATATTGGACATAAGGGGCATTGAATTTAGAGCTCCTGATAATCATAGTCAAAGAACTCTGCCTGCCTTCACATAGTGCTCCAAGACTAATATGGTCTCATGCAACTTATAACTTGGAAGGATTGCTTTGCTTTATTGTAGTTGTTCTCAACTGTGTATACTCAAATGATGCAGCCCCAACAAGTTTCCTTACTGAAGGTTTCATTTGTCACGAACCTCAGCCTAGCACATGGAAACAATGTGATTGGAAACTCTTGAGATCTTTTACCTAGTTATAAACTAAGGACAAATGAGAGTGCTATTTTTTTTCTTCTCCCATACAGAAGGGTGTTGTCACTGTTTAACAATTATGAAGCAATGGCCATTCAAATCTGTTGCTTTTTTAACTAGACACTAGTTTCTGTACCTACTGTACAATGTTTATTCAGTGTTTGACTCAGGGGTACAAACATGGGGAAAAAAAGTGTAACACTGATTTAAACCTCAACAAGAACTGCATAAAGTTTAAAACTTTTTTTTTAACTTAGAACGCTCTGTATTTTTTCTATCCTTTGGTTAAGGAGTTAATCTTTCCTAATGTGTTGCACTAATGCGTTTTGTATTTCATAGCTTCAGCTCCAGGTCTCCCGCTTCAAAGTGGTACAGTACTCCATTCACCCACAGTGTTCAGCAGTATTTGCACTATGCACTAATGTAAGCCATGGGCAGATCCCTTTCTACTAACATCAGCTGTCCAAGCAGTTTGGCACGCAAAATTAGAGGTAGTAGTACTAGCTTCTTGAGCACAAATTGCTCTTTGGATGGTCTTTATTGTATTAGCTTTGTCACCTGCTGCCTGGCCGTTCTCCAGTGTCTACCCAACAGGACCTTCTCTACAAATTCTGCCTGGGAGTACAGGGTGGGATTTCTCTAGTGGTTCGGAGAAGCCCAAGGAGGTTTTAGTGCCGCTAATTCTACCTCTGCTTTACCAGACATGTGATGCAAAGAAAGCTTAAATGATGTACGTTTGTGTGCTTAAAGGAGTGGTCAGAACAATCATCTTTGAAAATGTTTGTTTTCACATATGCATATCTAGGCAGCTGTAACATTTCACTGTGCAAACTTCAGACTGTGGCACACAAGAATTTCAGTAGCTTACAGGAGAAAGTGCTTTCTAGCTAACCCGTTCCTTACTGTAAAACACAGTAGTGAAAGGTCAGATGTTAAAGAGCTTGATCAGAAAGGGTCTCCCTAAAGTCCTAACCGAATCTTTTTTTAGAATTCGATTTCCTTAGCTGCTTTGTGTTTTTTTTGAATAAGTAAGATGGGGAAGTGGTTTTTGAAACCAGGTCCCAAAACAGGTAAGAAGGCTGAATTGGCTAAGCTGCTACTTGTAAAGGTGTGAGAGCAGACCAGGAAGATGGCTGGCTTGGCGAACATTTGGTCTCCAAACCACATGATCTGGCCATCAAAGTAAAACCAAGCCTTAGGTTAAACCTGCTCAGAGGAACGGATGGTGCACTTTCAGATGTCGGTATGCATCTGCCATCCCCACAGAATGAAAATACAGAGGGATTTCAAAACTGACAAAAAGGCAAAACACTAAATAGCATCCAAATCATCATCAGTAACCACTACCTCTGTGTGACTCTCGAAAAGTGAACTGTGCAGACAGTTAAAATAGATCCATCTCCAGACCTGACAGAGTGCAAGGTGTGTCTGAAAGAACAGAAAGTGCAGACAGGATTCTGCTTTTGCGGTTGAATCTTGGAATTAGCAGAGCTCCAAGTGAGAAGACAGGCAGGCAGTGGAAAGAGCTGGTGTCACAGAATGGTAGGGGTTGGAAGGGACCTCTGTGGGTCACCTAGTCCACCTGTCACCAGGCATCACTGCAAGACAGTTTCATGCCTAATCTATTACTGTCTGTTACTCAGAACACGAAACTAATACGTGAAAGGAAGCAGTTCTGCCCTTTGTGCTTTATAGCTGGGAAGTGGCTAAATCTTAATTCTAACAAGCCTTTCTGGCAATATTTCTTTAGAGCATATTTCTTTTCACTAGTGCAGATTTGGTTTAATGTGTTTATCTCCTAAGATGAATTTTAGATTTTACTGCCATATGCTTTTAATTGAAAGCAGAAAATGTTACAGACAGAGTGTATGGGTAGTGGTTTGGGTTTTTTATGGAACAGTTTCTCAATGCAGAGGAGCAATCAGCATTGTATGGTGATCCAAACAAAAAAAAAAACCCTCTGCAGCAAAACAGCTGATCATGAAGAATAACCATTCTTTCATATGGCTGTGTACTGCAAGAAACAAAACAAACTGAAGGTTGAGAGTGCTAGGAATTTTTAATTTGGCAGACTGGAAGCCATGGCATCTTCAGACAACACAGAGAGCTCAGCTGGCAGGGAGCAGCCTAACATCCTTCTCAGTGCTCCCATGGTGAGTCACTTAAACACAAGCATCACATACTCAGGTTTTCCTTTGTGCTGCTCTTCCTATTCAGTAAAGGCAACAGCATTTTAAATTGCTTCATTTCTTAGTGGTTAAGTAGGGGAAAGTTCCACAAATACAGGGTCTGCCTCAATGTTATCAAAGCACTCCCATCTAATTATCCATCACTTTTTTTTTTCTTTTAAACTTTGACTATATATTTTATTTGACTGGTGTTCCGACTTCCAGGATGTAGGGCAGAAGACTCCTGTTGATAGCAATGGCTTACCAGACACATCATCTGGTATCAGTAGCAGAACAGTGGGGCGAATAGGAGAGAGACACAGGCTTGTCCAGTATATGTAGCATCATTTACTTTTGCTTAATGGCTATGCACCTGTAAGCAGTTTTCATTCTAGCACTCGAAAGCTCAGCTGCTTCACCTCTGTGATTTCCTTTGAGCCTGTTCAGTGCTGCCAGTGAGGACTCCTTTCAAATGCCTGTCTTAAATCATCATCAGCGGATCCAAATACCAGATACGTAGTGAGAGGTTGTGTGCTAGTTTAGTGATCATATGAAGACACCCCTAGGTTCATGGAGCAGTAAGAATGAGTGGCAAGGACTGTCAGGGAATAGACTTGCTTTCTGAGCCCAAGTGCCATGTTAAACCAGCAAAGCATCTTTAGGAATGTCTTCATACCAAATTCACTTTCAAAGCACATGCTGTTTAGCCTCTGAATGAATTGGTAACAATTGTAAGACCAGAACTTCAGGCTTCAGAGGGGATCAGACTTCTTGTACTAGTGCCTTCGGGCTTCCTGGCGAGCCTCTTCAGTAAAATTGTTTCTGAAAAATGTCTTAGGAAGCTTAAAGTACTGCATTTCCTATCCATCGTTTTCTGAAAGATCTTATTCCTTTATTGTACATCTCTTTTGTTTTAGTGCTTTTGGCTTTTGGCTGTTTTTCTAGAAGAAAAGAAATTTCAACTTTAAAAAAAAAAAGAAAAAAACCAAAAAAAAACCCAAAAGAAACAACTTTCAGAGGGGATATGACCAGAAAGGATTGTGTCCAAAACGCTGTTACTCCTAACTCAGTGCTTCAATCCTCCAGCTGGATCAGTGTTCAGAGATGTAGGGTGTTAATGCCTGAAGCAAATCATCGGTGCTGCTGCTTTTTATTTTTGAGCCATGCCTGTCATATGTGACAATTTGGGGTTTGTATGGGGTTTTGTACTGTTCACTGTATGTGTGGAACATCAGTCATGTTTGATGTAACATCATGCACTCTCCTATTTGAAACATGTGTTGTTTTTGTTGTTCTGACATGCAAGGGGATCTGGGATCTTGATTTCATGTATTAAATTTTGGGATGATAGATCTGCATGTGATATACCTCACAGAACTACTAGTTAATATATCAACAAAATAGTAAGCTAATGTTACAGGCAGGCGGTGAATTACCTCCCCTGCTATGCAGCGGCTGCATAGGCAGATTTAGGACCCAATGACTGACACTTGCTGTGGTAGCTGGTTTTATTACCTGTAGTTGCTGCTTTCATGGGTAAACCATTTCCAAAGGGAACCAGTAGCTGTGTTGTCCGTCACAGCATGATTGGCAAATGTGCCATGTTTCTTCACGTTCGGTTTCTGTGGGGGAGCAGAGCTTTCCTCTGCTGGGAATGCAGCAGCAGCAGGCTCCTGCTGACCTCACGTTTCAGGCTGCTCTGAAGAGGCACGCTCAAGCCGCCTTTGGGGGTATTTTTTGAGACTTTCAGCTGGGTAAAGCTTAGGGCTGTGGTGTTTCCTCTGATCCTTGTCCTTTTGGACACTCAGCTGAACATGAATAGTAGCAAAAATGAAGGCAACTGGATGCATTGGAAGGAGAAGGTATTTAGACATCACTCCAAAAAGGCAATGAGAAGTCGTGTGCTCTATTTTTAGACAAATATTGCTTTGTAAATAGAATATTTGTATACCTACAAGTAGATAGAGATATAATAAAAGAATTTGAAATATACAGGAAAAATGTAACATTTAAAGAATCAGATTGCTAACAAAGCTTCGTGTACCATAAATCTATTAAGAGCTTCCCATGTAAACAGCATCTTCTGTTCCGCCGCAGACTTTGATGAAGACTTCAGTGCAAATGGCATTAATATTTTTAACACTAAGAAAGTCCTAACCCCTTATGCACATATGTGCTTATATCACTGTGTACCTAGGTGCTTATTTCAGAGGAATTTGTCTTGCAATTCCAGAAGTGATTTTTTTGGAGCCCTGTATTTGAATATATGCCTTCTGAGATGCGATTTCATGCAGAGGAAACAGCTGCCATCTGCGCTTCTCCTGACACTCTACACAGAGCTTGCGCTGCTGTGCATTAAGCGGTGCCCTGCGTGGCTGATGCTCAGAGATGCTGTTGGCAGTTTGCAGGATTTGTTGTTGGCTTTTTCTTTCCTTTTTCCTTAGCAAGCCTGGAAACACAGTCCCAGACCCCAAATGCCAGACACGGGTTCGGAAATGTCAGAGTGTTTAAAAACTGATTTCCTCATGCTTAGGCCTGTCTTAAATTTTCAAATGTCTCCTTAGAATCT